TCTCTAAACAGGACTGATAACACTTAGGGCGCTGTTAGAAAGGTAGATGAAACAAAGACAGTGCGTGACGATAAACAATAGTTTTATTCATATGTATTACAAATTTATAAGTAAAACCACATCATGATGAAACAAAAGTATTAAATCTAGAATGAGACTAAAAGAAAAAAATAACGTAATATTCATTTATAGCGCGTACAAAACAGAAAAATAAGGGTGATACAGTTCTTTTAAAAATTTCTCGTTCCAAAGTATAGTCGGAAATAATGAGTAATACTGAATGGGCATTTGGACCGTGTGGACAATAAGCAATTTGTGCTGTCGAATAGCCAACTAAATTACATAGTATTAGTACTTTTCAAGGTATAACACACATTAAAGTTCTGCAGCACCCTATTGACAAACAATTTCAAAGGTCGGCTTTCTCAATGGTTAAAGAAGAATTTCTCCCTCTAAGATCCATTGTAATCGCCATTCCTTTACAGAGACCACCACTAACAAGTAGAATTTCTATTATCGACCTGTCAAAAGTTTAAATGAAACTAAGTCATCCAATACAAACATAGGCTATCAGAAGCGCTACAGGGTTCTATTTACTTGATTGAAACGAAGACTAAGACTGCAGTAATATAAACTAGTTATGAACCTGAAAATTTGACTCCATACACTCAAATTGAGCTGAGACAATTTCGACTACAGAATATACACATGTACAAACACTTCTCTCTAGATTAGCTTTTTGGCGTCAGTGAAACTGCCATAATACAAGCTATATAATGAAAATGACTATTATACACAATTTTCATGGAAAAATAATGTCTTTGCTTTTGCCACTTTATTGCGCTATATAGTGAGATGTTGCGATTCTTCACAATATTCTACATTTTCCCGATTTATGTCGCTTTTATTTTTTACAGTGTATATGCAAAAGTTTAGTGTTACTGGGCCTACTTACGAGTCTTTCATTTAAAAAGGGTTTCAGCTTTTGCGAACAAAGTTCTGTATATCATGACATAGTTCCGTGAAGATACTCAGTGACATATAGATATAATTTTCATTATCCAAACTTTGAAGGGGATCCCTTCGCCAATCGGATTCAGTATTGGATTGTGAGTAGAATATACATCCCAGAGCGGTGAAATATTCAAATGCAAAACTTTTGGGGATTTTTCAATATAAAGATCCCGTCGGAGTTTTTCAGAATTGTTTTCCGAACTTGAGAATAAATTCATTGGGTATATATGCATTTCATGATCCTAATCATGAATATGATAGCACTTCGCACAAATTCCTCCCTACTGAAACGGCCTTAGTCAAAAGAGACGAATTTTCGATGAAGTGCGGCGGGTCCCGTCGATAAGGATCGCATCCTACATGAGTAAACGTGTAGATCCTGCACACTCATCTGGAAGATATAAAGTTTTGGGAAAATACGCCGTTTTACTCGTCTTCCGAGATTTAGAGGTCCAATAACGCGGAACGTTGATTCTTGCAGAACTGGTTGTCTGAAAACCAGCCCCAAAACCTGGACCCTGGATAGTGGTTTTGGGGTATTCTCAGTCAGCCGTTATGTAGACCATACGAAACTGAGTCCATATGAATGATTTTTAGTTCGGAAACAATGCAACAGCTGAAGCTACAGATTCGAGAAGTTCAAGAAGTACGAGCTCAGATCTTCCAGAAAACCTTTGCAATTTCTTTATTCAGTGCACTCTTTTACCCATAATCCAACTACAGTCAGCCAACCATGTATAAAAAGCATAGTTTCTCGTTTGTTTAAACTGTCCACCAATAGTCCTGGTCGCTCTTCCACCACCTCAGCCCACTGTTAGATATATAAATAATATATAATATCGTTTTTGTTAAAGACTTCGTAGTACCACTTTTATAGGACCAACTTTCATGTATGATTTGAGATAGGTTCTTTGGACTTATCACATCGAGTTGAAATTCAATCGAGCTAATTCTTTCATGATTCCGATTCCTCGCATTGTTTTACACACATCTAGACTATTTCGGGTAACACGAGATCTTTACCTGCGAGACTGGCTGTACCTTATCGAAAATCAACTCTCAACTATTAAATTTTCTCTGTAAGCCTGTTGTCCAGATGAGAGTTTTGTCGTCCAAATAAGACCTCGTCGGACTCTCGATGACGTCTGGAGCCATCGAACAAGTAGTTTTCACTTAAATACTGTCCGTCCTTACGTGGAATGGGGCTTTCTGCAGCAAACGTTGGCGCTGTTTCAGCAGATGAAAATTAAAAACGTTCGTCCCGGTTGTTGGAGCATATAGAAGGTTCTACATGATCCCATAGAATATGTATTGAAAGGAAATTTTAGAAGTAACTTGTGTAATTTTAAACTTTTAAAGTAACTTGAAAGCAATTTTTTAAGTCGAAATCTCTCAACCATTTAGGATCGGTGAGTCAAAATAAATTTTGTGTCTAAATAAATTATGTGAAAAGTAAAGTTCTAAGAATAAACATTGTTGAACAAAGAGCACCTGGTTTCATTCAGTTTTTCACGCACTATTCTGTAGTACAACACACTTCAAGGGCACCTTTACGTAATACTAGTATATGAAACGGATGATTTCAATACTTTTAAGCGCATTATTGTTTTTGTGAAAGTATATTTCACAATCAAACACTAAAGAATGTTGTTTTTTCATTAAGTAACAAATTTTCATTCTTTCTTTTTCATCGATTGTACAATAAACCATACTCGATTATTTTATTATATCATGCTTACAGTAACAGATTACAAGTTGAAAAAGAACCATGATGAGTAGTGTGACTCATTTTCTGACTTTATATCAAGATTTCGTCGATAATAAAAGTACACACACACTGAATAATAAGCCGGCTAAATCGATAGGCTGGTCTAAATACAAAGAGCGCTTTCAAAAATATTGAACATCTGCTAAAATTATATCGGAAACAGTAAAATTTGCACATACTTTGCATCGAATGAGATGTAGTCACGATCAGATTGTCTACAACGAAACGCAAGTATTTAGAGAATATGACTGCCGCTGGTGATCATGCAAAACTTACCTGTCACTTTTGATGTAGTAGCCGAAGTTGGGCAATTCTAGGTGAAAACAGTGAAATTAGCATTTCGCACGAGCAGGTTAGTAACAGCACTAGATTCGAGATAGCGAAGGTAATATATTTAGTATAATACACACAGAGCCATTGCGAGCGATGCGTGTGACACAACCATTCGGAAAATCGACGTTATTGCGATTTGGAACCCTAACTTAGACAGGTGTGGCAGACTATGGCAGATTGAAAGTTAGACTTTTTTAGTGGTTTTGGAACGTACACTGAGTGCTTTAATGGCTTAGCAGACTGTCCACATATGAAGCCCCTAAAGATTTACGAGAGTTCGTGTCAAGTTTTGTTATTTGAAGGACAGAAAAGTATTTTTAAAATGGTTATTGAACCCTGTCAAAGAGCTGACTGTTCTTATAGCATTTTGGATTTACCATAATGAATGTATAGGCGAAGTATTTTGGTTAAGTAATGAGGATAGTACTCGTGGACTTTTTCAAGTAAATTTACTTGTCAAGTACCTGACTAACCCAATGCAAGTAGCTAATCCGCTAAACATGCTATTCACGAAATAACGTACTTAACAAGTTCGTCACTTGCTAAGCCTTCACCAAGTAATCAAACACTTGCATCAAGTACATTCACTAGGGTAGGAGTCATTTTCAATAACCCTGCGCTCTCGTAAACTCTTTTTTCTCAGGATTCTTTAGTCTACCGGTTCTTTTAAGAGTAAATGATTTCAATTCTTCCTGTTGGACTTACAGATTGAGACAACTTGGAAAATTTCAAAAGTTTCATCTGTTTAAACCTATTTGGAACCTATTTGCGTAGAGAAAAACGCCACGAGATGAAACGTTTAGTTTACTCGTCGTTGAACTTTATGTCAAGAACATGAGTATTCGATCTTTTGTTTATAATTACCGCACATTGACTAGTTGTTAATATAGTGATCAGGGTTGATGGTGATGCACTTTGTCGTGTACTTGTGGGTGTTTGTGAAACTGAATTACTTGAACTTTGCCGAGTAGTTAAAGTAGTCTGAGATGTGCTTAAGGTGCTCGTAGGCATTGTCGTCGAAGATGAGGTCAACGGCTCTAAATAAACAACAAACGTTCGTTTCACTTTTTGAATAAAAGTCGATAGCTCTTTCATAGTAGTACCACAAGGCTCCCCTGTGATGTGGATTTGATCTATGGCGATGTTAAATATGCCTGTACCAACCGGACGTTCAAACACAAAATAAAACTAAAACAGTAGTAAAATGCTAATTCAGCGTTAAATAAGAATACCAGGAAAAATCCTGGATTATATCGGAAGAAATGGACTCTACCTAAAGGGTGTTTGTCAGAGTTTGCTAATTATTTCACATTTACAAATTCACTAGCTAATTATTCAAGGCAGAAAAATATATGCTAACAATATTTTGTGATTTATACCTGTAATTCAGTTGTTATTATCTCGAATGTATTTCTATATTCATGCCATTTATTTGCTGTCCATTCAGTAGCTAAGCCAATTGTTTCGTTGAATCCCCCAATCAGTGATTTACTCATTACTTTAATACTTGCATTACTATTCCCATTTGTGAAATAATAGAAAAATCCCAAGCAATGATATCCTTCTATGTCAATGTCTACTTCCAATAATTCATGCGATGTTATACCAGTACTATTGAATGTTTCAATACCATAAAATCCTGATGAAAACAAAATCTTCTGTCAAAATGCTTTTAGACTTTTGACAGATGCCAGCTCAGTCTACCTGGATCACAATCACCTGTCGTCCCATTCGTCGATGTAGGACAATAAGCCGGTGTACTCGCATTTGGTTGATAACAGAAATAAATATCAAATGTTGAAATATTAAATGGAAGTTGACAGAAACCATTTAGTGTTTCAATTGCTAAATCATAGTTTAAAAACAGATATTATTAAGTAATACGAATAGGAGAACTAACTAATAGATGTGACATCGGATAATGGGCGATCTGGTGGTAATGTGGTTAGTATTTGTGTAGTAACGACAGCTAAGTTACTAAGACAAGACTTTTCATCATCAAAATCACACCTGAATTGGGCTTTAATTTGGTATACACAAAAATAAAGTACGACTAAAACAGGAAAATGTTATTTAGATTACAGGTTAAAATGGGAACGCTGTTTTTACTTAAAACGAGTTTGGGGTACATAATCCTATAAATGTATTTGATTTTTAGTTAATATCAAAAAATCGAACAGCTCTTTGTCATAAAAGTACATAAAGTAATTTGTGCTATTTACGATAAGAATTTTATTGAATAATTTTATACTTAAATCTTTATGATACGACGGAAGTGGTTATCGTCCATGAAAACATGAAAATTACTCAACAATATATTGACTTTTCGAATCATACCTTGTTATTCAAACGTTTCATTCGATACTTTATTACAGAACACTGATAACTACTTACAAATTGCTATACGATGATCTTTAAGTAAATTGATTGTAGTAAAATTGAAATCGAAACTGTACTTTCAAACATGCCTTCATATTTTGCTTTGGCCTTAAGCACATTATTTTAGAACAAAAATTCTAGAAGATATCTAGTTGTCTTATATATTTTAACGTGCATTATTGCCAATTGACTCAAATGTGTGTGAATCTAAGTGAGTCGTTACCGTAGTGAATGTGCTTGATGCAGGTATTTATATACTTGATATGTATTTGCCTTTTACTTGGAAAAGTCTACAATTACTATCCTCATTACTTAATCGAAGTACTTGCAAAAGTACATTTACTAGGGTGGTCAATGACCCTGAATCTGCTATAAACAAGTTAATGTAGATTTTACTTATAAAAAGAAATTCGAACAAACAAACTTCTAATAAAAATACCCAATACGTTGAAATACCAAATGTTGATGAACCAAGCTATGAATCTAGTAGACAATTAAAATAGATAATTCATAAAAACAGTCCTAATTCTCATTTACGTGTAACTTATAGAACATCTAATACAATAACACGTAATTTTCCATCTAAAACTGTAGATTAGATTTCAGAGCCAGATTATGCAATACAGGGGGGATCGATCCCTCCTCCCCTATATGTGTCCTCGAACTATGTCAGTTTGAAGAGGACACCTGATTATACATATCCTTCAGTTTTTTCGATCAGCTGGTAACTATTCACAGAGTTATTAATTAATTTAATTTTAATTTTAATTAAAATCTCAATGGTATTGTAAAATAATTCATTCTATTTTATTGAAATGTCCGATCAACGTCGTGGCAGAGTTATTTTGTCAATAACCTTTGTTTGTGTATAATAAGCTTTATAGAGATTGAAAAGTTTTCCTACGACATAGACTTTTTAAATGAAGCATTGTAAAAAGAGTGTTTTTTCTACTTTTAAACATAAAAAGTAATTTTTGAAAACCTTGTCAGCGATTGCCCGATAACAAAGAAGTTTGGAGAAAAATTTTCGCTAGCAAAGTTGTAGCTGGTGCCATTCTGCATTGAATAAGCGAAAGGGGATTTCAAAACAAAATTTAGAACAGAAGTTAAATGAAACTTAAACAATTTTTAATTTTATAACTTTTTAATTAATAATCTTTTAAAGTTTTTATCGTTAGAAAAGAAAACTGTTCCGCTTATTTCGCGTAGAATTTCATAGGAAACAACTTTTGTGTCCAACAGCTTTTATGAGCTTTGCTTTGCGTAGTCAGAATTCGTGGCAAGATTTTGAGGCGCGTATCCTACAACAAGGGCTTCGGAAATCCCCAGCAGTTATTGTCATAATCAATAAATTTTAATTATAACATGGTGACCAGATAGCCCGAAGTGGTCTCTACAATTCTGCGCAAGGCCGACCTTTCCATATGTTGTGGTTACAGAATGACAGGCATTTAGTCAACGAAATGATAACGACTCAGGAAAATGACTGCCGCAACAAATAGAGAGGTCGGCTTGCGCAGAATTGTAGAGAACACTTGGTCTATCTAGCCACTATGTTACAATCAAAAATCAGAATCTGGCAACCTCATCGCTTTTCGTCACTCAAATGCACCTTCGAACACTCGAGATTTTTGGTACACCAATATGTGTCAAGGCCTTCTCTACAAAATGCTGAAACCCCGAACTCTCTACTTCTTTTAGTTCTCGAGTTATTGAAAAACATCCATGGTAGTTCTATACAGAAATCCATAGTAGAAACCCCGTTTGCCTAAAACCCTGTGAGTGTTGAAGTGTTCATAAATTCGAGCTTCGTTAATCGGTTAGCAACAGTTTGTAAAGCTCGCACCAATTATTTGCTTCTCATTTGTCGTGAACCCATCGTGAAAGTTATACTTGATAGAAAATTTCTTTTCGCTCGTCTGCGACCCACAATGGGCATTCAGCCGGACATTTGGGAAAAAAGGCGAAGTTCACTTTTTTCTCATTTGAATATCACATCATCTACTTCATTTTGTGGGCTATTTAATGGCAAAAAACACTTTTGTCCAAAGCCATTTTTCCACAGAGAAATGACCGATGGAAAATTCTCTGTGAAATATGCTAACGATTTAGGAAAAGTAAATTTTCTTCATAAAAATTTGGTTGTGAATGCAACCTAAGGGCGTATTCAGAATCAGCGGAGTCTGTTCTATCCAACACCATGCAAAACCTTCATCTAGTGCACTTATTTTAAAGAATAATAGAAACGTTTCAGGGAAAAACCGCATTTCCAAAGTGTATACTTGGTTCAAAGAGTTTCCCAAAGTTTCCCAATCTCACTGAACCTTGATCTTTGGTCAAAGTAAGCACTAATACCTCCTACACTTACAGTATTAGCGAAAAGTTGCGAAACTTTAACTGCTGCTCTGGCCAGATTTTCAAAGATCCCTCGATTTTTGAGGTAAAACTGCGCTTCCTGCATCTTAAAAACATGTTCTTTTGCATAAAATAAAACTCATCTGGTTTCGGTGGCTCGATTTTGAATTCTAGAAATTTTACAAGACCGAAAGACAAACAGACTTTTTTTTGAGATTCACACAAACAATTTCGTGCTGAAAATTTGAATTTCAAGATAAAATAACCTGAACGGCTCAAAACATGTTTCTTATAGGTTTTCGACGATCCTCTTTCCAGTGGCATCGTTTCTGAACATTGAGAAAGTTTTCTGAAGGGTTTTCCAGAGACCGGATCTCTGGAAAACTCCTTAAAAAACTTATTTCAAAACCCATCTCTCATGCCATTAGAAAGAGGATCGTGAAAAACCGATAAAAAAATGGTTCAGGAAATTTTAGTTCACTCATAAAGTCCGCCTGCTCTAGCAAAACATGCCCACTGTGTGACTGACAAGGGAACCACCCCAGGTGCCCAACTGCGATTTTCTTCATTCATATCTCGTTTTATAGAGCACATCGAGCTGGTAAAAAGCCTAAAAGGATTTTTGCGCATGGCTCTTGAAGTCTCGGTTTTCTGCAAAACCAGTTTTTAAGAAATTCTAAAAAATAACCAGAACCTTTCATAATGAGGCATAATTATAGCCCGCACATTTCTGATTAAAATGAGACGCCTCCTAGCTCTACACGACCTTTCTTTACAAAGTTACAGAATTTACAAGAACAGCCCTAAATGTTCATTGTCAGCTCAAAGCTGTAGAAGAAATTAATTTAGGGCTTTTCTTGTAAACTCTGTAACTTTGTAAAGAAAGGTCGTGTAGAGCTGGGAGACGTCTCATTTTAATCAGAAATGTGCGGGCTATAATTATGCCTTATTATAAAAGGTTCTGATTATTTTTTAGAATTTCTTAAAAACTGGTTTTGCAGAAAACCAAGAAAGAGCCATGCGCAATCCTTTTAGGCTTTTTACCAGCTCGATGTGCTCTATAAAACGAGGTATGAATGAAGAAAATCGGGGTTGGGCACCTGGGTCGGTTCCCTCGTGAGGCACAGTGGACATCCAGGCGGACATTTGCCAAAACGCCGACAATACACGTTTTCAAAATTTAAATAGTGTCAAATCACTTCGATAGATAGGCTATCTAATCCCCAAAAATGTTTGTTTTAAGCAGCGAATTTTCGGAAAAAATGTACTGTATACGTACTGTACAAATGTAAATGTATACGTAAAATGGACTAAAACAGAAGTGACTTCCATGGAAAAGTATTTGTTTATAACACTAGGCGAATGCACACTTGTAAAACGTATATATTCGGAACCTAGACTCTTTCAAATATCTACCAGTAAAAAAATCTCTTAGTTCAGAGCAACTATACCAGAAAAATAAGGTATTTTCCGAACCCAAACGATGTTTCCGGTCGCTTTCTTTAGCATAATCGGATCGCTAAAGTTAGTTAAGGTCCAGTTTCACTCAAAACTATACCAAAATGACCATCCACATGTCATGCATCTATGGTGGATGCGTTTTCTCTTCTGGACTTAGATACAGGTGTTCTGAAGAACCGCCGGTTTTTGTACTATTTTCCATTTTTCTCTTTTAAGAAATGTTTTATTAGAAAAATTAGGTGAAATTTGGAATCAGCGTGAAAAACTGCATCGAATGATGTATAATTTGTTAGTTTTACAAATAAAACACTTTTTGACGAAAATACACGCAAGGGTCCCTCAAAGGCATTTTTTATCGAATAAAGGTTTTTCGAATTCGACCTTTTTTACTGCTATTAATATCGGAAAAAATGCTCACTGCGTGAGGTGAGGGTGAAGAAGAATGAAGAAATCTCCTGTGTGGTGTTAACCGATACGAGTTTCGTGTAACAGATAGTGGTCGATTGCTATCTCGAGTACTTGTTTTCGTTATGTTAAAGAAGTGATTGAAATTGAGCATTGTTTGCTCCCGTATTCTGGCTGAATGATCGACCCATTGACAATTAATGGTAACGTAGGAGGAACGAAAGCTCTGCAAATATGCATACATACATTATTGAAATTTATAAACGGGTTACGATTCCATATGGTTATTAACCTTTATTCTAAAAAAATCTATTGAACTCTGTCGTTTACTAAAACAGAAGCAGAATGCTCTAATTGTAAAAGTGTTGCTCTGTTTCATAGCATGTGATATGTATGTCATTGTTATTCCTACACTTAAACGAAAACCGGAGTCATTGTTATAGAATATTTTAAACAAGACAATGGCAACGCTGCTGAATATTGGAAAAATATTCTTTGCATAACACAAATTAAATTTGACGGGCTAAAAGACAGCAATCATTCTGTTCTTTTCTTTGCTCTTACGGGTATTATTACTTCTTTTTTTTCAATTTCCTTTCCAGACAAAAATATTAATTTTAATTATTAATTTTGATAATGGTAGCATTTAAATAATCAATTAATAAATGTTTAGCTGAACCATAACAACTTCGACAACTCACCTTATCGAAGTTGTAAGTTCGATGAAGTGTGTTTATAGAAGCTGTAACTTCAATACGAAATATACATGTAGCCAAACCTGTTCGAATTTTTTATAATGCCTGAATATGATTTCTGTGTGATATTGAAAGCTTTGTCTAAACAAACAGACAATTGAGTGCTCCATGATAGGCCCGGCCAATAAATTATCGCCCGTGCGATAATTTATTATCTAATCGAACAGTTTAGAGAATTGTGGTTTCTACCAATGGATAGAGTACACGCCACTCAAGCAAAAAAAATGGAGCTAGAATCGGGCGATTGGAGCTAGATAACACGGTTTTTGACCCGGTTAAGCTAGATCCACCTTAAAAAGTTTAACCTAGGATCGGGCGGTTGGGGAGGTTATAAGCTAGGTTAACCGACCGATCGAGCTAGTTCAACCTGATCTAGCTCCAACCGCCCACTTAACCGACCGATTAAGCTAGTTTCTGGTATCAAAT